CCTCAGGATGCAGTATTGCGAAGTTTCCAGAAGATGGCATTGTAATTGCGCAGACTTTTAAGGATCAAGGTACAGAATGCCTGCATTTCATTTTATGTCCTTCTAGGTATGAGTATACTTCTCGATTTGCCACTACTGCTAGGGAAGGAAAACAGATAGAAATCCTTGAAATGTATGTACGGTTCAGGCCCATTCAATTAATTCAATATTCTGTGGTGTAGCTAAATCTATAGCTCTTGTTTACAGAGGCAGCTATGGCTGTCTTCCATGTGTACAGAACAAAGGAACCGACTCTCTCACTTTCTATTTGATATCTGCTCTGGCTGTTGTAGACCTTGTGGTGGGGCAAACAACAGCATCGTGTTGTGTTCTCACACCGGATAGCTGCTTTGCAAACCCAAAGGTATTTAAAGAGCAACTTGCAGCTTGATGTGGCACAAAACATGTTAAAACTAACTTTGTATACTTTGGCTGTCAACACACACACAAACCCAGCATGGCCAAGGCTGTGCAGTTTTGGGAGCTGTATCCCAATGTTGGAAGAATCTGTCCGTTTCAAAATGCATCTGCTTTTCCTCTTTACTAAACCAGGAGTTCAGCCATCCCAAAGGTTCGGTTTTTGCCACTGAGAGCTTCCACGAACTGCCAGAAAAATCTAGATACTGATAAAAACATATAGTGTCGAGCAATCTACTAATTGCCTTGAAAAGTGCAGTTTTTTCCACTTTGAAGTTGAGCAGCGCAAAGGGATCTCTTAGTAGATGCTTTGGGAGTTCTGGGGGTTTCCAAGGTGAGACAAGTCACCCTTCTTTTTGAACTCAATTTTCCTGTACACACACACACACACACACACACACACACACACACACAAGCTTGGGTACCTGGCATTGCCTGGGTTATTAGAAAAAGTCATAAGGTTGTGGGTGAACTACAACTCACGTCATGCCAGTTTTCCCCTAACACCTCCAGTAATCAAATTTTGGCATATCATATATACATGCCAAGTTTGGTCCAGATCCATTGGTGTTTGGGTTCGCAATGCTCTCTGGATGTAGGTGAACTACAACTCCCCAAAATCAAGGTGAATTTCCCCAAAGATCTCCAGTATTTTTGCTGATCATGGGAGCTCTGTGTGCTAAGTTTGGTCCAATTCCATCTTTGGTGGAGTTCAGAGTGCTCATTGATTGCAGGTGAACTATACATCCCAGTACCTACAACTCTACAATGTCCAGGGCAATTCCTCTCCAAACCCACCAGTATTCTAATTTGGGCATATCAGCTACGAATGCCAAGTTTGGTCCAGATACATTGGTGTTTGGGTTCACAATGCTCTCTGGATGTAGGTGAACTACAACTCCCCCAAATCAAGATGAATTTCCCCAAAGATCTCCAGTATTTTTTGCTGATCATGGGGGCTCTGTGTGCCAAGTTTGGTCCAATTCCATCATTGGTGGAGTTCAGAGTGCTCATTGATTGCAGGTGAACTATAGATCCCAGTACCTACAAATCTACAATGTCCAGGGCAATTCCTCTCCAAACCCACCAGTATTCTAATTTGGGCATATCAGCTACGAATGCC